AACAAACAAACAACAATTCACTAAGTAATACTTAATGAACAAGTTTAGCATCGTACTCAGGAGGACACCTTGGCACTAAATGTAAAACGCAAGTTATTCACCCCCGTCAGGGCTTTTCGAGACAGTGTATGGGTTCTCGAGCAGTGTATGTGTTCTCGAAAGTCCCCATACAATTTTTATATGCCCGGGCAAGGTTGTCGTTATCCCAGAAGCCATTTGCAGATGTCACAACAAAGACAGCACATTCCAATCCTGTCAGTCATATTAAGATCCTGAGTGTTGGACCGGCGCTAACCAATTTAAGCTAATCGTGTGCTATGTCGATCACGTTTCAACAATTCTTATAATACAGACATTTTCATACAATTGCAAAAGGCAATTGGCGACGGCTTTGTTTACCCAGTTTCTGCGAAAAATATTGCATTGTCACATGGTTACAATATGGTAGATTTCCCTCGTTTTTAGTTCAGAAGTCTACTATTCAGATGTTTCAAATCACAAGTATGCTGCAAGGTTCCTAGGGTTACTGACCAAGCTGTGTAATGGGCGAAAACTACCTCACCAACCCTAAAGCGTGGAATTTAAGTCAAACAGAAACCGAGAGATACCTAAGGTATTTTAATTGAACAATAAAATGATTTATTTTTAGATATGTTTTGTACCTGCTTGTTTCTGCTCTCAGGTGGCACAATCCACTCAAGCTCCTTCCTACCACACAGCACATGAATTGCCTCCACACCAAATCTCCTTGCCAATTGTTTGAGGAGGAAAAGTCGGGGAGCTGGGCTTAAACTCTCGTAACACAGTCTCCTTACAGTTTCAAAGAGAGTCTCCAATTTCATCTTTATCTGGCGATCATTCCAATGCTCTGTGTTTTCTACTGTGCTCTTGTACATAAATTCGGCAGTCAGTGCTAAGGTGTAACGCGCTTTTGCAACGCCTTCCAGCACATCAACATCAAGTTCTCGAGTGGGACGAGGTGAGCTTGAAATCAGCATTGGCGTACATTCATCAGAAAGTTGCTGTGCAAGTTTTATCATCACCAGCAGAATATCCGAGATTTTAGAATACTGACTGATCAGAGAATCCTAAAATTCAGCGTAATTATGTGAGATTTGACAGGATGGTTTCCAATAAAGGAATTGCTATTGGTTTTACTCCATGCATTCAGAAGTTTTTCTTCGTAAACTTAAACCTTCCTCTCTTCTAAAACTCTTGAGCCCTTAGGAACACAGATGCATTTTCTGCCATTGACAGGCTTCTTTCAAACTATGAACGCGTTCTCCTTTTTGCAGCGCGTGGGTACCACCTTTATATATCTACCTCGAGTTCTAGGTAACTTAAGATGATGACTGAGGGTAATCATAAGCATGCTGTGAGTACCTCATTTCTGTTAAAAGATCTCCATCTCAAAACGACTGTAATGAATTCAAACTTTACCTCCCAGCAGTGTACAAACAGCTGACAGACTTGCAACAAATGGCCAATCTCTGGTTTCAGTCCTCGAGCCTTCGTTAAATAGAGCGACAAGTGCTCCTTGACTTCCTTATCACTAAGCAAAAATCATACCAACCAGATATACTTAACAATTAATGAATAAGGCTGAGTGTCATATGAAGAATTATCCTGGACCGAGAAAAGTCCTTGGGACAGTACTGCAATATTCATATTTGTCTGTCATTTCTCGATTCCCTCTTAAAACGGTGCATCCTTTTCGAAAATTTCTCCCAGTTCTCCCACCACCCACCCTATACAAAGTTGAGAAAAAAAATTCTGGAGACACGCGTCCAACATTGTTTGTGGCGTGAGGGGAGGGGTTGGACTTGTGTGAATCGGAAAACGCCCCAGAAATGCAAAAGTGTCCCAAGACTTTTGTCCATGATTGTCTGAAAAAGAGGTGGGGAAAAAAAAGGCAATTTTCAAGCTTGTAAAAGGGTTTTTTTCGGGCTTTCTGATGAAAAATCGTAGTTAAACAAACCTTTCCCCAGCTTTTCGCAGTTTTTTGAACGTGTTTGAAGAATTTGCTCTAAACGAATATTGTAGTATCTCATGGCGCGTGCATAATTCCAAAGGATAACATAACTTTCAACAAGATTCACGTCCGAAAACAGTCAAGGGTAGCTACGAGTTACTAACACGATGGTGTACACAGTAAGAATTTCGGCAGGCCAAAGAGCTAGAGTCGTGGATATACGACAAAGCACAAGGTGCTTCACCTGGCATAAAAGTTACTCAGATATGTCAACATTACAGTCGCCATTACTCAATATGAGCACTGCGAATGTCAAAAAAATCCAGTCGGCTTGGTAGAGAAAATAACAACGTTTTCCAAAAGATAGAACGGCCGTGAATAGCCGTCCTTGTCATTTGTACAACACAAAAATACGACAGGAGCCATGCAATTGTGATGTAAGAAAAAAGCTGTTTTTCGCTGACTTCACGAGAATTGTACCGGCTCATTTTTTAGTTGAAAGTGTTGCTAATATTTATTTGTGTTTATTTGCTATTTGTCACGAACTAAGTAAACAACCAAGCTAGTTTGACGCTTTTATTTACAGCGAAAGCACAATTTTCAGCTCTTTAGTCACAGTACTCACTTTGAAATGGAGAGAAAGAAGAACAGGATAATTTTTCCTTAATGAATCAAGTGAGTACTGTTGTATTCACTTTACAGGCTGGCCTGTTTGACGCATATTATTTCAAATGCAATTCATTTGTGGTTGAAATATACCTTAACCGTGTTTCTCTAGTTAATTTGTGGCGAATATTGATAATACATCGTGTTTTTGTGACCGAGTACTTTTCGCGTTGCTCCAAAAATCGTGCCTGACCAACTTCCGCCGTACTCGGCTCCAGTTAGGGGAATGGGCCCGATATGGCTCTATGTTGAGCAAATAGTTTCAAAGGTCATTATTATTGCAAGTCATCACCTACTTGTCTTCAAAATGCCTAAAAAGCGTATGAAAATTGAAGAAAACAGATTCTTTTCCTAAAACCAGGATTCAGACACTAGGTGTAGATCCAATTTCCCTGAGTCGAGAGTTGCTTTTCCAAGGTACAATCAGGAAACCTAAACAACGAAGAAACGTTTTTATGGCTGGCACAGAATATTTTGGCGAAACAGCTCAACCACGCGACCACATACCTGTCAACACCATGCGGAAATCACACAGTACAGACCTTTAGCATCATGGTTTTCAAGGCAAACCACAAACTGTCACGTGACCAAGGCCTTGCGGTCACGTTTGCAGTTTGCAGTTCACGTTTGAACCGCAGGAAGGGCTTCCAGCAGTAAGTGATTTACGGCAATGTTTTTTGCCATTAAAAATTGTACAGCCTCGCGTTTAAAGGCACGAACTTGATTTTTATACCCGTTTGCGATGTATTTGTTGGATTTTTGATCTTGAATCAATGAATTATTTTGTTTTTTGGGCGATGAGAGTGATGCACTTCGACTTGATGAAAAACAATGGCGGCACTAAACAATGAACGCGGGGTTCAAATTGATTTTTTATTCCTTTCTGCCGTACTAACATAAGAAAGTTTTCTGTTCCAATCCAGGGTTAAAATTTTTTTCTTTCTTGTTACTGAATTCATAACTTAACTCATTCTCTGTTTAGTTCCTATTTTTAGCGTATCACTCCGTGAATTTCATTTTATTTTACTTATTTCTTTGTGACTGGGGAGCCCAGGCTTCAAAAGACTTCTGGTTTCTTCTGGGCTCCCTTGCAACCTTACAGTTCCTATATGTATTCTTGTATCGTATTGTATTTTGGCTAAATAAAAATGGACTGAACTGAACTGAACGCCTTCTAAAATTTATACTCTCGGCAACGTGAAACTGCCAACTCGTAACTGCAAACTGCGGTTTGCGGTTTCCCATGAAAAACCTGATGCTAAAGGTCTCTAGTCACACACTTTCGCGGCACTGATAAGACTATCAACAGCCATGCATAATCTTCTGACGTTTAACACAAGCGAAATATCATCGAATAACTCGTAAAAACTCAGCCCATTGGCAGATAAACACCTCTGAACTTTTCTCTCACACTCGTCTTATTCAAGTCCCCGGATGTACGATCACACGGTCGGCAGACCAGCCTAGACCTTGTTTTCACACCAGGGTCTGGGTCAAAGTTCACCTGCAATGTTTCTCTCGCCTAATTCATTTGACTCCCAAGAGCCTGTTCCCGAGGCCAAAGACTTAGTGGTCACCTTAGAAAAGCGAACAACATCGTATCTTTCTGTCTCAGTCCGGATCAGGGTGATTGTTCCGTTTAACCAAATGAAACGAGAATACAATACGATATTGGACGATGTAAACTCTGCGAATCGTCTTAACATTGTCCCATCTCAGAGCTTTACATGATGCTCTCCGGGAAACTTTTCTCAAGGTGACCAATAACAAAATGTTAACTGGTAAACGGCACCGAAACCACCTTTAGGCGAGCAGTGATTTTAAATAACTGTCACTTGTGTTAAATACAGAATTGTGGGTAGGATCGAAAAAAACAGGAAGGGAGTGAAGGGGGGGGGGGGTAGATAGAAATTCGCGAAATTCTGTCTACAGCCACTTCTACACAAATCCCTAACCACAAAACGAACAAAAAAAAACGACATAACCAAACAACTCAGTAAAGGAGCTATTAGACAGGGGAAGTTAAGAGAAATTACAAAACGTTTGTTAACCCAGTTTTCAAAACTCCAGGTAGAATTATAAATTGCAAAATTCTTTCAAATTTGGTCATCAGTAATTGGTTATGGTGAATTGTGCGTGTGCTTTTAGCCAATTAGGAAGGGAGAAATATTTTGAATGAATGATAACGAAAGTTGAAGCATAAAGTCGTGGGTGAATGGAACTCAGTCACTACACCAACTTTTATAAGACCCCTCCACACCAATCCGGATGTTTTTGAAACCGCATATGTTTTTGCACTAATCGGCTTTCCGTCTCCACGAGTGAATCCGGACACCGAAACAGCATTATTTATGTAAGCGATTTAAGGCCCCGCCCAGACGGATCCGGATAAAAGATATGCGGTTTCAAAAATGCCCGGATTCGTGTGCACATGGCCTAACATGGGTGTCTTTTTAATGCGATTTGACAAAAAGATAAATGATGAAATAAGTAAATGAAGCAATAAAGACATAAATATTTAAATAAACTAGATGCGGAAACAGTGCTTTCTTAACAATAAATCCTGGATTAGCGTTTAACAACTATTTAACCACCAACCAATGGAATTTTACCTACAAATGAAACGACAAATACTGCCATTACATACCCTGTCCTCAGTAGTTGCTGTAGTAGGAATGATCTCACCACAGCAGTTGCATCAATACCATGCTCAGGGAAAGGAGAAAAGTCTTTGGTTTTAGAACTAGCAGCTTCGATCACGTAACTCATGAACATGTCGAACAGCTCAGGGTCCATTACACTTTCACCACCTTCAGCGCCAAAACAAAATAATGAAACAAGCTCCATGAAGAAAGAGTTACATCGGCGGCGAAAGTCGGAGTGTTCTTGGACAGCTTTCCTAGAAATGACGCAAAAGGAAGATATTAACAGCAGTTCATCAGTACACCTCAAATTCCCCAGGGCAAACATGGTCACACTGAAATAAGCTGTAGCAGGACAACATCCTCAATTAAAACGAACAACTGTTTCGATCCGTTGACTGTCACGGTAATGTTTGTCGCAGATTTTTAATCAAATTTGTTGATTTTTGTTCAGTCACTTTCATGTTTGTTGGTAAAGTCCCCCATAACCGTTGGCCTCGACCCAAGGCGTTGGTTCTTAATTTAATAGTAAACCAGCGTGCAAAGAAAGTCGTGTCCGATAGCCTGGGGCCAGTGGATTTTGATATCGGGCTAGTGATTTTTGTTCTTAATGCACCTATCAATGTAAATCCCGTGGGGGAGAGTGCGGGCAAGGGGCGGGGATGCCTGAGACTATCTCCCTGTTGGGCTTTTGATCGTGCGAAGCGACCCCGGGGTCGGGATATTTGACTTTGACCGACAGAAGCCTGGTATTCCTGGTATCAATTTAGAAGAGGTTACCAGGTCCGTTCCTCTAGGCTTTCTGAAAGTCACGCTGTTGGAGAAAGGTATGAAGTTTTCATTTGTTTTAATCGCCATAATCCGATACTTTAAACTGTCTATAATGCCCATTTTAAGAAAGTTTTTATCTTCAAGTTCCCATGTGATTGTAAAACTCGATTGAAATCGAATTCCACCATGAAAGTCAGAGGATTTTTTACGAGTCACTGATCCGACATGTTGACCAGATGTTATAAAGCATTTTACGTTTCATTAATATTACAATAGCAGGGTCAGTCTTCCTGGAGTGATTTTGTTGTTCAAAATAAGAAATGCTAGTGGAGAGAAAAATACTTAATTACAGCGAGTAACTTAACGGAGCTTACGTTAACCTTAAATAAAAGTAGTAAGAATGTACTTTTGAAATGTTCTTTCATTCGTTTTATATAGTATTATAGTATTGTTTGTTTAGATTTTTCCCCTGGGGTGGGGTCTCTTTTGACACTTTTGATTTTGATCAAAAAATTTAAAATTTGTCAAATCCCCACCCCTTGCCCGCCCCCCCACACGGGGTTTACATTGATAGGTGCATAACTTGCCTGACGGGCAAGTGCTGTTATTTTTGGGAAATTTAAATTAAAGGATTGTAATCAATCCTGCTAATCAAAAAGGGTTTGGGGGCTAGTTGAAATGACTTGTGGGCTGGTACATACTAGCTACAGCTTGCCCAAATGGCAGGCTGTAAAACTGACTTTCATCGTTCACCATCGTTCTAGGCAATAAACAAAAGTAAGGGGGACAAGTTTGTAATTTTCCGTCTTTCACTCCAAACTAGAAACTAACCCTTTTAAGTAAGAAAAGAAATCTAACCTTATAATTTGGGTGGACTGTATCCTAAAATCCTCAGGGATGTGCTGTCTGCACATAGGACAATTTCGTTCCTGTACTATCCATTCAGAAATGCAATGCAGACAGATCACGTGACTGCAAGGTATTTTGACCGGGTCCTTTCCAACTAAGCCGTCCAAGCACACGGGGCAGGTGTTAACACCAAAACTGTGAAAAGGGAATCATTATATTGATTAAAATGATGCCGTCCGCATATTAGGCACGCCCGAGAATAGAGAATTACACAGTACAGCAGACGTATTTCCGGCCGTCGCTTCTCTCCCTCCGAGAAGCGACCACCGGAAATACGTCTGCTGTTCGCAGGCTAAAAAATAACCGGTCTAGATTTGCATCAATTGACCTTCGAAAAACTCAACCCTGGCTTTAACCTTTAATCTCCGACAACACTATAAAAATTCTCTTGCAATGATCTCGCTATACTATATTCTAGTTGAGAAAATTTGTTTCAAATTAAGATCAAAGCATTTTTCCTTCTGTGATCACTTCATTAATTATCAAAATCTTTTCTTTTGAATATGTATTGATATTGTCAGAAGAAAATTAATTTTGGTCAATATTGGGGCTTAAGGGTTAATCACTTTGCTTGACCTCTGAAAAGTTTAATTTGAAACGGCGACTGGAAGTATCTTTATTAAGCCAATAAGGTAATAAATACTTCAATAAGAAAACTTTCAAAATAAAGCTTCTTTCCTTTTCCGTCACTTTAAGTTTTAAAACCATAAAATATCAAATAAAGTAAAAGATGCGTCCTTCGCCCCTCGCCCACTAACGACGTTTATCACATTACACAATCGTACCTGGTATAGCGTTTACTGACAGCTTCACTACAGTCAACCAGAAACTTCTCAATGACTCGCATGGTGTGTGGCTTTGCAAAGTCTGTATCCTCTCCCAAGGCCTGTAAGGAGAGTGTTTTTATTAGACATGTGCACAATTGAATAATGCACGATAAATACGTCTGTATATTTAAGACACGCTGCAAAAAAGGTGTTTTTCCGAAGGAACAATTTTGGCTGTTTTTTTTATATATATTTTTGTCTGCGGTTCAAGTTACGGCACTCTAAGTATAACCCTTGGGGAGTAACAGGGTGCAGTGATGAGGGCACTCGCCTTCCACCAATGTGGCCCGGGTTCAAATCCCGGCGTCGACGCCATATGTGGGTTGAGTTTGTTGCTGGTTCTCTCCCTTGCTCTGAGAGGTTTTTCTCCGGGTACTCCGGTTTTCCCCTCTATGAAAAACCAACACTTTCAAATTCCAGCTCGTGCTGGAACGCACGGAAACGTTTCAACGAGTTCTTAGAACTCCTAAATGCTCCGTGGGTAAACAAATTACAAATTTTACCAGACATCTAAAAGCTCGGGGTCTACAACTTAATGGAACACTCTTGCTAGTTTAACTTAAAGTCACCGGCTAAAATACATCTACGAAAGACGACAGTACCACGGTGCCTTCTATTCTCACCCAACCTCGTTCCAAGGCTTGGGGACGGGTAGAAAAGGTTGATTCTCACCTTCCAAAGCTTGAAAGCATTTACATCATCCGCTCGGTGACAGGCCGATGAACTAGGACAGGTGTGTTCTATAAACAGTCTTACAGCGCTCACTCTTTGCCAAGTTGACCTGTTGGGATGGCAAAATAAAGAATAGAATAGCATCGAAAATAATAATCATCATAATTTGGAATTCTGGACGTCAGTCACTTTGCTATTGATCGTCACGTTTCAACAGCGTCTCGCTGGTCTTCATCGGGTCTGTTTTGATCATCGCCTGATAAAGACCAGGAAAAACAGGTCTAAACCACTGTGAAACGAAAGATCAAGGAATCTATTATGAAGAGAACGTATTTTCACTCAAAGATCATGTCAATCTAAGTTCTTTATCTTTGGATGGAATCCTATAGTATTACTATTCACATGAAGCCTCTTTCGCAGAACGTTTTCATATTGCTATTTATTTCGTGGAATTTGCAAAAAGAAATTTCAATTTTTCTTCGGTTTTTATTAGCAATGAAAGAGCTATTGCAAGAATTCTAAATTTACAATACTTGTTTTTAGGCTGTCCTTAGTGTAATAAGGATTTACCAGAGATTTGCAACAGACTACAAGGATCGTTTTTCCAGGTATCACTAAATTATTCGTAGGATAACTTTACAGTTTATTCTTGTGGGTCACAGACCTGCAATGATTAAGAATCTGAGTTGATTTAGGTCCATACTGTGATTTGCTGTAAAGCATGTTTTCGGCGCTTGATCTGATGGACAGGACTCTGTTGCACCACACTAAGCAAGTCTGAGAATCAGCGAACTCTTCTCCTCTTGGTTCAAGCTGTGACAAACACAACCGAAGGGCAACTGCATCAAGGACCTAAATGTTGGGTACAAGAAGTTAAGGAAACACTCATGGGTAGCCCAGAGGCACGAGCGTTAAATAGTCACAGCAAGGATTTCCGAGAGTAAATGTTTTGTGCCAAGAGTCGGATTTCCACCTCGGAAATGAGGAGGTTAGTAGTCAGAGGCTACTACACTACAATAGACGGTCAGATAGTGTTATCCGGCCATGTTCAAGTTTGTTAGCTTTCTTCATTACATTCACTGTTTTGGGACAAAGTTGGTGCTGGTTGTGCTTTCGAGTTTCTCTGCATAAGCTTTGTTAAAACACTGTGGAGTAGGGAGTAATAGGTAATGTATCCATGAAAGAAAGTGTTCAATAGGGTTATTGGTCGGCTTTGCCTACAAGTCCATTCACAGAAAATATTTTTGCATTTATTCCGTAGCGTTTCTGAGGGAAATATGTGCATTAGGTCCTACAAAACACACGACAGCTACTACTTTCTTCAAAACAGAAAGTATTACAGGCGGTGTGTTTTATCAAAAATACATTTTTAGTGCTGAGTAATTTATGTGAGTGCAGAACACTTACATTACGATTACAGTTTTCAAGAACACTTTGCAAGATGCGAAGTAACAACAAAACGTAGCTTCGGGTTTGTGCCAAAAAAAAGAAAGCCGTCTAGTAGACTGCTTAGTTTCTGTCCTGTGCCCTCGAATGCCCAGTCATGGAACATATTAATTATTAGACTACCTAACTTATACCCTTTCTTACCATCTCCTCTTCGTTGGGCGGAATGTCTTCTAGCAGAGCGCTTACAATGTCCCGCTGCGCATGTAACAGTTGGCTGAAATTTGTCAAGCGTTTCTCGATGGCGTCATACACAACATGGATAAGAGGGATGCTGAGATCAAACTCCCCTGAAAAATTCGAGTCGACATACCATTCGCGAGCGGCTGTGACAATAGCCTTACGGAGTAGCTAAAACAAAATCCAAAAAAGGCTAGTGGTGAGCTCTTACCAATATATTATTGCAGTGTCTACAAGAAAGATTTGCTTGACTTGCAACCCTCATTCACAAAAAGGTCCAGTAGTATACATGACTTTATTAAGACATTTAAGAGATTCAGAGTCACGTTTACGGCAAACGGAAAACGTCAGTTTTAAGTTGAGAATTTCTCAAAATAGAAAATAGGCATATAAAACGGCTCAAAATAATTCTTATGGATTAAAAAAAACCCTTGTATATAATGCAAAATAATCTTAATCAGTTCGATCGTCGATCGTGAAAGGAGCTGCAGGGTAGGAAAACACCAGTAACATTCCAGAAATTATGCCTGATACCTTTTCCTCTTCAGGGACTAATGGCTTCAGCACCATGTGAACAAAATCATGAAGATAACGCTCAACGGCAGCTTCTTTATAACCTTCTAACGAAGACTCGTCTAGAAAACGGCCCATTTCACTATTGTTTACCAGGTCATGTAAACACTGTTGAATTGGCGTGTTTGATGCCGCTAAGGACAACAAAGGACACAATAGTATCAAGATGAGATCGTAGACGTTTTTCAGAGACAATATGAAAAATGAAACAACTCTTTTTTAAAAGAAAAAAAAGTGTCTCACCAGCAATACTCGAAGCCTCCCTCCACATGGCATCAATTCTTTCCTTAATTATCCAAGAGAAAGGAAACTGCAGTTCAAACGACTGCTTTTCACGACCCGAGGTGACCACAGGAACACGTTCTCGTATGATACCACTTTCCAGCGACAAAAAGCTCTCATAATGAAGTTCGACTATGTTTTCACTTTGGAAAAACCGTAGCCAAAGACTTGAAAACCAATTCCCTCCATCCATCAGCAGGTCTAGGTTGGAGTCACGGTCAACAAAAGCGATTACTTCAGAAAGAATTGAAATAACTGATGAATAGACTCTTTGCCATAGGGCTTTCCTGAATGTTCCATTTTCTTGGATTCCAGTACCGCTTAAAGCCTCAGAGCGTAGCCAGTCATTTGCCTTAGTTCCAGCCCGTTCATCCTTTTCTTGAAGAAGTTTGTGGATTCGTCGAGCCAAAATAGTAGCAAATGATAGATCTACAAAAGTAAGAAGAAAAAATGTTGCTGACATGCTCAATTGGTTACTAGAAGCCAATCAAACCATGAAAAAAGATCCTTGTTGACAAAACGCTCAGCACGGGCAGTTGTCTAAGGAATCCAGTGACTTCAAACTGTTTCATACTTTGCAAAGAGTCCACTGGCTTGGCATAATGTTGTGAAACTTGAGACAATCATAACGAGGGAATAATTAAAGATAATTGAACGCCACCCTTACCAGTCCCATCTGTTCTACCATCTGGAAGAAGACTCAGCATAAGCTCAATTCGCCGTGTTGATCGTGATGAGCGCCATGGTTCAGCATCAATTCTTGCAATAGCTGCTTGAACACAGCTTCTCAAAAGGCTGACGATATTTACTCTATCCGCAATAGCATCACTCTGTTCGTCGACTTCCATGTCATCTCTCGCTGCCTCAACGTATTTTTTGTCCACCCGTATGCTGCTTGATGCAACATCAAATAACTCACTCATTGACCGATCCACCATGAATTGAATGGCTGGGATGTGACCAGTTGGCGGTCGAAGTTCGTCAATGTGAACAGACAGCCACCTTCCTCCCTGGAAACCAGCAAATGCTTCACAGCCTCCGACAAGTCGAGGAAGTTGAATAATCATAACTACATGCACAAATGATGAAGGGTCATTTTTGAAATCTTCTTCTGCAGTTGTCCTTTGTTCAACGAGAAGGTGTCGGGCACAGGGTATCAAATTACGATTGACGTCTCCAGCATCGCATTGCACGATAAGCAGTCCTTTCCTTCCACCAAGTTGTGCAAAGAAATCCCTAGAAAATCACAATGTGATAACATGCAATAATGGATTGAGTCTTTGAGTTAAATGTTTCGGCTGGACTGTTGTTAGGGAGCTTAAGCAACCACGACGGCAAAGGCTTTAAAAACGGCACATCGCTCTTAATCCATTTCGTTTAATTGGTCAAAATACGGTAAATTTTTTCTGGAGTTGTCAAGGAAGTACTTGTGACAAGGACGACGAAAGTATCTCTAGAACGCAAAACTTAGTCACCTTTGTTTAGGTGGGATATGGAAAAATGATGCTCATTCCAAAAATATATTCTGCGCCCCCTCGTCCCTGCAAGTAAGCTCAAGTCCTGTCTGCCTAAAGTTTAGAAATGCAATAGTAGTTAACACTTGCAATTAATTTTGTATACCTCACAGATGAGCAAAACTGTTGTTCCGTGTGGAACTGCTGAAGACTTAGACATGTTACGTTTGGCAAGGGTAGAGATGTGGCACGAGCTATGTCTTGCAAATCATTTGAAGACAGCAATCTGGAATGAGTTGTCACCTACAAGAAGAAATAAGTTATCTCCAGCAATACACAGAGGTCATAGTGGTTATGACAATTAACAGTCTAGTTAAATCAAATTCAATATTATTTCATAGTTATTAAGTGTTGGTTCATTAATTACCAACGAAAGATCAAATCAGAGCACACCTGAATTAAACTCCCCTTTCCGGAACGCCCTCCCTCTATTGTCAGAACATTTCTTAGAAAAGCTGTTAGACTTGAATGTTCCTGTATTGTAAAGTAATTTGTCCAGAGCTCGTCTGCTTGCTGAGCAAGGTGTGTAGATGGCAGACGTACAACAGCATCCGGAGTTGAACATTGTAACAACAATTCTTTCGATTCCTGGAAGAGCTGAAAGGCAAGCAAATGTTAATCGATCAAGCCAATAAGGTGTGTGAATACTAACTTTCCTACTTATGAAGGTGTATTTCCACCACTTTCAGGAAAAAGAATGCGATTCTATGGGTTCATCAATAGTTTCATCACACTTTGTTAACAGACAGAGTGGTAAAGAGACGATAAAGAAAAGCGGCGTGCTTCTGGAAAACGGAGAAACGACCATTTTTGACACCACCTCAGATTCTTTGAACGGCTATGATGAAAAAGAGCAGATTGGAAGGAAACTTAGCATTAAATACTGTACCAGAAACTAATGAGCTACCAAAAAAGGTTAAATTAGCCAACACAAATTCAAATTCATCCAAATTACGTCCCACTATACCTTGTCTAGCAAATATTCATCACTGAATTCGCTTTCTTCAATGTTGTTGGTTACTTGCAGTACGACGCAAGCTTCTGTGTCAGCATGGTAACCAACAAATGCGTCACCAGGTGAGTACTTCCTGTGAGGATCAAAATTACATCACAAACATCAGAAATGAATAAACTTCATTATTATTCATTTAAACTATTTCTCTGTTTCTGATTGGCTAAAATCCCACGCATGATTCATAACCAGCTATTGTCGACCGAATTTGGAAGAATTTTGCGATATGAAAAATGAAGTCAATCTTGCAGCAAATTGCCAAATCGTGAACCGTAACCGAGAAGACCGGGACAAGTTTAAGTTGTTATGTAAGTGAGTAGTGAGGGTATTTTGTTAGGGGAAGAGTACGTGGGTTCCATCCGTAAAGTGAGGATGTTTTGCAGTCTACAAATTTGTTTCTTACCTCATGCACAATACAAATATATCTTACAGAATTTTTGAAAACGTTACTGTCAAATAGACCTCTTCCATCAAGCACTTTTGTTTTCGGCCAAAAACGTAGCCAATATAGTGCAAAACCATTGCAATTTTTTTTCCCTCCTTTCTTTTTCTTTGCTCTTCGATTTTTTCTTTTCTTGTCCTTCGTTGATATGGTTTTCGGGCTTATCGGACACAAAAACCTGCCTTTTGGCCCTAACAAACACTGACAAATTCCTGGCTGACTTTCTGTCTTTACCTTAATTGCCGGTGACGAGGGATGTCGACATGAGAAAAGCTTTTTACCCATTCCTGCAACTTGTCCACCAGGACCTTTTGTGGAGAACTGAGACTTGCTGAAGTCACCAGGTAATGTTTCTCCAAGCGATTAATGAGAGGAATCGGAAACTTACTGTACACAACATTTTTCTCAGCAATGACAATCAATCTGTTTGACAGAAAATGAATTGGTAAACGTTACTTAAAGCAGAATTACCAGAATTACTAGACCACATTAAGCCACATTATTCAAAAATGAAGCTATTAGATATCCAAACACCTTCGTTATAAAGGAGTGTAATGAAACGACCTGAATTCTTCCAGCGAAAACTTGCGGGCTGCGTTTGGGACGGTTAAATCGAATCTTTAACATCTAAACGCCATAAACACTATTTTTATGTACTGTTGGTGTGGCAATGACTGTTATGATATCTAGAACTTTCTGGAATTCATCTGCATTTGCTTCTTGGATAAGAACGTTCTAGAATGTCAATTTGCTGATCTCTACCGTTATCCCAAACGTTATGTAAGTCTCTCTAAATAGACTGACTATGTGTTTGTCGGAACATTCTAGAAACCCCCTCTTTAAGGTATATGAGCAACCCCTATACTAGTTTTGTGTGTGTGTTACTATGTCATTAGCTCTACGACTGTAACCTACTTCTGAAGTGATTAAAGTTTGCCTTCTATGAGACCTAGTCGACTCAACGTTCCTCATTAACTGACAAAACTATGACAAGGAATTACATATAAGTATTGACAGGCCATGTTCACGGACTGAAAGTACTGTCTAAGGACGTTTTACCTGAATTCATCGTGGACGCGACATTTTACACGGTGACTTCCAAGGCCAAGATCCACATATTTCTGTCCTCCAAAATACACATAGTACTGGAAGTAATATATCAAACATGAGACGCAGTGTTTCATCACCAGATGAAACACCGAGAAGAGAGTTGAAAATACGACGCGCAGCGGAGTATTTTTGACGAACTTCGAGGTGTTTCATCTGGTGATGAAACACTGTGTCGAATGTTTGATATTTCTTCTCAAACAAAATCATTTTTGAAGGAGAAATTAAGGATGCAAATACTGAGCAGTTTTTCATCCGATTTCCAAACACTCATTAAACATTAATTTTCTTTGTATTTTCTTTATGAATTATTAATGAGTTTGAAAAGTGCAGATTAAAAATAATATATCGCAAACGTTAACGCCGTTATAAAGGTAGTCAATAAAGCTTAATTTACGCCAAGAAATGTGTGTATCTATTTGAAGATTTATTGATGGAGTGATTGACTTAAGAAGTTTTAAAATGTCAAGTAATAATACGAAGAAGACATTATAAAGAATGACTTGTAGTTATACCGAAGTTGTGTATATAATATTGCCAGACACTTATACCTGGTTTAGTGCGTCATACAGACTTTCATAGAGGCTCTCCAAGTTCAAAAGAATTACAGTTCTTCCCGTTTCCATGCAGACTTTAATTCGATTCATGTCACGGCAGATCTGAAACATGAAACGACAACCCAACAAAACATTCCACAGATTGCTATAACAGCTAATAGAAGTCCAATGATCATGGGATCACAGCTTAAAGAAAGAACTGATGGACCCTGATGACTTTAACACGATATTTTTCTTCTTAAAACGGTAGTAAGCTATCTTAAAACCGACTCTTTTCTAGTATATCTCCATAACGGCTCCATCTCTGCTACTAAACTGTCCTCAGTCCCCAAGTTGAGGTTCAACTGTAGTTGGTTAAGGTCAGTTGGTTCCTAAGAGGTAAATGGTTGGTTAAATGGAAGAGGTTGTTTTTACGGGTTGTAAAGTAAAATGCATGCCATTGCCCTAAAATATTGATGTCTTCAACAATGTTTCTGCTAACTCTTCTCTCTCTTCCATAGAGGCATCTTCGTGTCTTACGGAGACTGGGGAAAGAAATAAAAGAAAGCTCGCGAAGGAAGATAGGAAGGGCTTACAGGCTTACCACGCACTTACTATTTTACACTCTGCGGAGGAGGGAGCAAGTCTTGTTACTGAAACAGTCTAATTAACGAAACATCCATCTCACGAGTAACAACACTTTTAATTACTTTTTAATACAGCTGTTAGTACCTGAGTGTATTCTTGGTCCTTGGGAAAGCTACTGCCGAAAATTACGACAGGTTCTTCGCCTTTTTTGTGCAGTTCCTGCTGAACAATAGGCAAGGCTGCATAGTTCTCTGTCAGCACCAATAAGTATCGACTCTCTCTATTGAAATGAAAACGTCAAGTGAGAAGAGGGCGGTAAAGGGTATTTTCGTGAACCGTGAATTGCTGGTTTTATTCCCCATTAATGGAATTGATAATCGCCTTGAGCCGTGATTTTTGATAACAATAATCTGTGAAACGAGTTTCGAGTGTTGAATTCATCTTGAACTGTGACATTGAAGTGCCACAAGATGATGAAAGAAAAGATGGATCTTCATCTGAATTTCTAAAGCAGACCAGCTCTCTGAATACGATAACGACCCCTCGGATGACAATGTTTCTGTATTAGAAGATGGTGCGGAGCCTCAACTTCTAAACAAAGAACTCGGTTTCCTTTTCACAGCACCAAGAACAAGCAGCGGGAGAATGGTGGGGACATCGAACAAGGCAGTTCTTTGGCTGTAGTTCTTAACCAAAATAAGCAAAACTGATCGTATAAAAATTTTGTTTCTCTTGAAACGTGAATGCCGAATTTATTGTCCGTGAAATGTGAAACGGCCATTTTACATTTTCCATGACACGTGATCAATACCCCCACCACCCCCCACCACCCTCTGGGAACAAATTTTACACTGTGCAATCAGAGGAAAGTTGCCTATTTCTGGCGTTTGTCCGTAAATGATAAACGAAGTGGGTCATTTTACAGTACTGTTCAAAAGTAATGAGAGCAAAGTTCGCCGAATTCCGTCCTTTACCTGCATTGCTTTGAATCGCTTCACTGTAGGTTCGCTACGTTCGATCGCCTCGATTGCCGGGATTGTTCATCACAGCGCTGGTTGCAACAAATTTCATATGATCACTACACTAGTTGATAACGATCTGCTTCGCATTTATAGCTTAACAAACAGTTAAGTTCTCTCTAAAACTTTTTCATGGAAACACACAATCTGGTTCGACAAAGATCAGTAACACTATTTGCCCACAACACAGACAACCAAGTTAATGTTCCCGTAATAAAACTTTTCTGGTCTTTTAGACTGAAACTTACCTATTCTTAACCAGCTACCGATTGCACGTTACTTGAGGGAAAGGCCGGTTACAGTCCCCATTTAACTTCCGTCTATTTTACCGCAATCATCAGAAACTTCTCAACAAAGAGGCGGTCGCAAAAGATTTACCGCTGAAATAAACTCGAATTAAGAAATTTGCATATGGTTACTTTTAGCCGAAACCATCGCTCGACCTGCAGTTAAGCATTTTCTCTAATTTCAGCGTAACTGAGCTAATAAATCGATTCCTGACAATTTATTTTTTTCGGCATTAATATTCCCTCTGTCTTAACGCCAAGTTAATTTAAAAAAGCAAAATTTTAAAGCTTACATGAAAGACTCGATCGTAGCCTTGAAATGACATATGTGTAACAAAAAGCAAAGTCTTGTGATTTAAATAATCTCAGCAATAAAATTTCACAAGTTTGCGCTTCAATTCCTTTTGCTTTGTGTCAGCGACTTGTCATTCCACGCTTGCGGTAAATTAAAAACATGAAAGTTCGAAGAACAATTCGAACGACTTTACAGGGGACGTTCCCATCCGGCGTTGTTTTAAACTTTGCAGGGAGATACTTTCAATTCGTTTTACTCAGCTCTGGAGGGAAGAGGAAAACAACCAATCAAGGAATTTAGTAAGCACAGTAAACAGGCAACAGCTTTGCATCATGTAGGTTCACGAACGTTCTCAACAGTTTTTTTTAAGGGTTTTGACGGTTTTGAAAAGTGCATCTGCCAACAACAGACAGCAACATCGAGTAAACCTCGCGTTCATTTAGTAAGATTAAAACACACATAACAATACGTAAATTAACAAGTGTTGTTCCGTCTCAAATTTTCTTCACAAGATTCTCTGCCTACTGAGGTTCATGTTGTTAATGGTGTATGTACATGCTGTACATGTAAGGTCTGGTTTCTGTGTATGATTGATACGATCGGTAATATCCTTCAAAAACAGATTGATTGGAAGCAACGTTCGATTATCGTAGCGATCCGTTTGGGACACGATCGCTAAGATAGACTACAATTTACAGTCAGTAGCTAAATCAACAGCGCTTTTTATGCTTGTTTCGACTCGTGATTTTAGAGCGTCCAAATATCAAATGGTAGGCAAAAAGAATTCATATGAATCTGCTTGGTAAGCGTTCACAATTGAAGTCAAATTTCACTCTAATCCTTGGTTATCTTTATCCTGCTGTAAACAACCGCGCCCTGGTTAGTTAAGAACTTATCAGTAACGAAATTTCGGTTCGTCGAAGCGAAATACCGCTTAACTCGAACCGAAATTTAGTTACGTTAATGACGCGAAATTTCGTAAAGCTTTGTCGAAATTTCGCTACCAAATTTCGGTTCATGCCGCGAACTTTCGTTTCGGAGTCATCACCTAGTTTCCGAAATTTCGCACGGACTACAATAAAAGATGCTCCGGAATTTCGCCAAAATTTCGTCTGAAACGAAAGTTCGTAATTTGCTCGTCGAAATTCGCGAAATTCGCTCTCATTTTTTTTGCACAGTACTGTATCTTATTGACTCTCTTACCCTCCGGAGATTTCGCGTTCGAGGCTGGCTTTGATAAGGTTGACTGCAGAAAATGCATCTTTATTTTGCGTCTTCTAGGAAATGAGTAAAAACGCAAAGAATCACAAAAAACACTGGAGAAATCTCTGTATAGTTTCGGAAACGTTGTACTTAGATGCCGACTATTACTATTATAGCCTTTTCGAGGAAAAGTACATTTACACCCCAGTGGAGTTACGGTGCAAACGCTTAATTGTAGGAAATCGACTAGGAAAGTCGATTACTAACTGACGTAATCGACAGCTGTTGTTATCGGTGTGCACACAGAATGCCGGCCCAACCTAACCTGAAAACCTTTCGAAGTTTTTGAGTGGACCTTCTGCCTACCTGTGAAATACGGTGGACGCATAGCAGAGGCAACTTTAAAACAAGCAAATTATTCAACACGCCTACCATTTCGGTTCTGCTAAAAGGAATATGTTTCCTGAAGATTTTCAGTGGGTCAATCGCATCCAGTCCCCCGAAATTCCTTCTGATGGCTCGTTCAATTTCTGGCCAACGTGGCTCTCGTCCATGTTCCTCAGCTGTTTTGTACACCATCTTTACCAAGCTAAAATTCAATGTGAGGATAGAATGATTCAACCGACGCTTGTTTTATCTGACATTAACGTCCTGATTTTAGCTCGTGATAATCTGAACATTTTTAACCCAGTTTAATTTCGAATTTCCTACTCTGCAACCATGATCGGGGGTAAAATATCCAAGGAGTTTGAAAACTGTCAAACTGAGAAAAAAATAAAATTCCTGACAAATAACCACTACATGAAAGAAATAGGCCATTCTTGCAAGCTTCAATGCACTCAAGTTTTGTTTCGAAATAAAGCCAAGTGTAAAACTTTGCCTGGAAAATGGGTCAATTTCTGTGAGAAAGACTTCGCACTTGCCCTCGGTTTTAAGAGAGGTTGACATTTAGGATAAAAGACAAACAACACTGTAGCTGTTTTCAATAAACCTGTATAACTTAAGCTGATATATAGCTGTATAAGCTGATCCAGACGCCGGCGATAAGAAAAGTTGGAAAGACGCGTTCATGACGAAAATGACGAATAGGGCGAAACTTCGCCAAAGCCTTTGGGACAAGTGAAATTAAAAATGATCAAGGGTCCCATTTGAGATTGGCGATTTTGACGAAAATGGCAAATTTGGCGAAAACTGTGAAATGGCAAAAATTCGCCATAGTAATATGAACAAGTCAAATGATATGGCAAAGGGGCGCCGTCTAAAGTAGCAGTTTTGACGATAATGGCCAATTCGACGAAAATATGGCGAATATGGCAAAAATTCGCCAAAGTATAATTTTCAAGGCAAATGAGATGGCAAAGGTGCCCTTGAAAAAGGCAATTTTGACGAAAATGGCGAATTTGGCGAAAATTCGCTAATGTGATTTTTTGCAGATTCGCCATTGCGAGAATTTCTGGACATAACTGCATGATGGACTGATTAATGGGAAGAGCACTGTTATTTCCGAAATTCCAATGCTCTCAAAAGGACCTTGAGGAGACTGTAACAAGAGCTTAAAATAAGCTAGAACTGACAAGTTAAACTACTTTTGAACATCCCTACCTGTAGAAATCACGAAGTCCAAAAAATTCCTCCTTTTTAGACGCCCGAAGAGCTTCTAACCGTTTCTGTCCATCGTATAACTCACTGTAACCCTGTGCCAGTAGATTCATGAGTGGAGCAACAAAGTTTTGTATTCTTATATCAGTTGCACATATGCCCCTAAGTAACATAAAGAAGAAGGATCACGCTCGTTAAACTATCTAATTTCAACTACATCAAATTAAGGTGGAAACACTTCCCACCACCCATCCTTAAAAAGCTGTATATTTTTTTATTGAACCTAAAACTAGCAGTAGCCGTTGGCTAGGAAGTGCGGGCGAAACCGCTTTCAGATGTAGGTGAATGCCTTTCATTGAAAACTGGATTGAACAACACAGTAAAAAAAAACACTCATATAATTATCTAATTCAACGATTTTATTTGCATTTGATTAGATACAATTAGCCTGCAGTATTTAGGTAAGACGTTTGTATTTTATTCGCCGGTTTGTATTTTATGCGTGACACAAGTAATGCTGGTATGCACTCATGCTCGAAGTCTTTTTATTCAATCGAATATTCATTCCGTGTTCAATGACAAAAGGCCATTGAGATGCGATACAAAATAATGGAACAGCTTAATCTACCACTGGAGTTTAAAGCTTATTAAAGCTTTCGGATGACAGGCGTCGTACAATGCTTGAAGACGTATAAAAATATAAAAACCATACACTGTAGTGAAACCTGAATAAACTGTATAATAGACATCGATTTCTAGACTTCGCTAGCACTCGTATCTCACCGAAAACTTGTCCCGCACTAAGCTGAGATCAGGCTCTACTTCTATTTTCCTGGGTAAATAGATTCCAGGCCGGCAAGGCGAATCGAAAAGTCTCCCATTTAGTGCAGTACTTGTGTACCTGAATTACCTGTGCTTGCGAATTGAATGTGTGATAATGATTGTTGCATCACTTGCATGTGCATTCACGTGATTACGGTGACATCAGACGGACCTTGAACTCAACACCAGGACCTTCGAGGCTACATACCATTCATACCATGCATATTAGTTGGTACAACACAGGAATGCAAATCGACCGAAAAAATCCGGCTATACAGTTAAAAGAGTGCCGCTGATCAAGAATAGGTGGCGGGCTCCTTTTGTCGCCCGCAAACATATTTCATCCTCAAAAAGTGTCTTTCTCATTTAAGGTTGAACCAAACCGGTCTACCTTCATTAAAGTCAACATTTAGCTGATGGTCAATTTTTATTAAGTGGGACATCTAGTGTGAAAATATCAGTAACAAAGAAATGGTCCTGTTTTGTGCATCTGATAAAAAGTGTTCACTCTGGTCTGCATCTACCGTAGGTCTCTATCTGTATTGGTCCCTATAACCTGCAGCTCCTATTGTTAGACGAGTTAGTGCCGTTGTCAGGGACGTTTATTAATTGTTTCGTGAAACTAAAGCGAACACTTAGTGGGCCTTCCTTTACTAGTGAATACCATTCTTAGTCCCAAAACAGAGGAGAACTTACATTGCACTTTCCACTAGCTCCTCTGTGTCTGGACGCCCACGACAAAGCATGATACCGCGATTCATTTTTGCAGGATCGAGGGCCCAGTTGGATATTCCAACAAAGGCTACTCTTTCAGGAAACTCTTCTTCCACTTCTATGATGCCATCAGTGGAACTTAAGCCATCCTCCAGCAGTGGATGGAGCGTTTTAAGAGGCATTAGAGGCGAGTCTTCAGCCAGGCCAACTTCATCTAAGACCACAACTGACACGAACTTGTCTGGGTTCTTGCCTTTTTGGAGCTTGCCGCATTGACGGAAAGTCGCAACGATCCCGTCAGCAGTTGAGAGAGGGCTGCACTGATAAGACACCATATGAACCTTGTAGAACACGAAATTGGCATACATTAATAACAAACCTAAGAACACGACGAACAACCTGAATACAATACAGTTCATTACAATCCAATACAACACAATACTGTGATTAAATCAAACGAAGAAGACATTAAGCAAAATAGTCCTGCGGTGATCCTTCCTCTCCTCATCTTTGTCGTTCTCATGAAGGATACTTACCACTCTATCACATTTGTTTGATAGATTCTAACAATTGCAATACAGTAATAAAAATTCGTAATAGTCTTTTCAGTACATTGCCTTCACCTGCTTAAAGGTCTTGAAAAGGTCAGATCTTGAAGCACCTCCTTCCATGTTATCAGCAACAACGGTCTTGGCTAAAGATTTAGAGCTGCCTGGTTTACCAACCACAAACAAAGGAATCCTGAGTTCAATGCACACCACCATCATAAACACATTCTCACTAAGTGCTGCGTTACGTGCGATATTATGACCCAGTTCTAGCTCTTTCAGCACTGCTTTTTGGCATCTGGTGACGAAAAAGGAAGGTCCGTAAACAAAGTAAACATGCATTCATAAAATCAACACCAACCTGATTTACTTTGTAACCCAGCTTGGTAGCAAAGGTTCTATATTTATTTATAGCTTTTCTTACACGATTTCTCCACGCGTTCATGTCTAAGAATCCCTCAAGATACCACTGAAAAACGTATACACTTAAGCTACTGCAAATTGCTGGAGACACCACAGCCTATCGTGAACATATCGCCTTTGGGTGTAACGACCTTAATGACAACTCGGTTAAAGGTATTTGTATCATCTGATGTGGCAAATAAGAAGTCATTGCTTCTAAAATAATGAATTGCTAGTGTGGCCCACCTTGTAATTTCCTTTAAAATTCGCTTATGTCCACCTGGTAGTTGGCATGGACGGGAAAAGCTAGGAGCCACTGCACGCCGATAAGGTTCTCTCTCTTGAAGTCTTGCATGGTAACACACTCCAATTGAAAGCACCAGGGCACGTGACACGGCATTAATGGGCTAAAACAAAGTTAAGGCGGGTATTTGTGACAGGTGCAGAGTCATGCCATTGGTAAAAACAACTTTTTTCTACACCGCACTATGCTTTACGTAATGAAAAAGATATTCTTAAATGAGCAAAATGTTTTTTTATTCCATTACGTCACTCAAGAACATACTTATTTAGTATGCAATTCTGTCTATTTCTCTTCAAAGGACAAATCTTCTTTACCTTATCCAAACCATTCTCTTCATCTTCCACGTCAATTTTTTCATCCATCAGAGGATTAAGAGCATCGCGATGGTTGTAGAACCAGACCATCACTCTCATTGCACGTTCTACATCTCGAAGGCTCACAAAGCTACACTCATCCTACAAAAGTGAGTTTTGCAAGACAAGAATTTCATCCAGAGTTCTTACTGGCGTGGATGGAAAGGGCATATATAAATACATAAATACATTGAGATCAGCTGTAATGTGAGAAATAAAATTAGGTGTCGTCGGAGAAGTGGCATGTAAGTCAGAATACCATTTTACGGTTGTAAGCTTAGTATCCTTGCCTTTAAGTGAAAGGGAGTCTGAGACTGACCTTGCTTTGATACAAACCTCCCTCCTTTTCTCATGGAAAGTTTGCTTAAAAATACTTGTTGCATAAGAACGCATTTACGTAATAAAGCAAGAAGGGTCGTATAAAATCAAGGTCAACTCCAGCCTCGTTTCCACCTGTAACTGTAAAATGGACTATTAACAGTAAAGAAAAAAATACAGTCAAACAAGAATTCTCAGACTGGCTGTACTGTTGAAAAAGGTCTAGATTTTTCGTTAAGTTCATACAAAATGGAAAAGGAGATGCACACAAAACACAACAAAAACACTATTTTTTACCGTCTGATCTCTCATGTAACGCTGAGAAGCAGTTAGTACTCTCGTCAGAGCCCTGACCAAAGGCTTATCGCCTGGAATCTGTTTTTCTTGAAGGATCTTACACGAAAATAGAACACCACATCAAGAGAATTATTCAATGGCACAAATATGAAATAAGTTGCACTGTAAAATAGCTATGCCATGTTCATGTAGACAGCGACAACTGACACTGACTAAGACGTTTTCAAGAATCGTTGCTTAAAAATCGATTCTTCCATAGAATGTATTAAGTGTTATAGTATGAGAAATCAGCCGACATTTCTCGACGCCACCGCTAGTTTCCTCGCGAAATGACGTCTGGGAACGAGCGCAGAAATTCCACACTGATAACCTGGTCGTTACCCATATCTGGGGTGTGCTTCTGGTTGGTCGTGGCGCGAGGGAAATTTACTTTAACCAATCAGGAGCACTACCTAGACGTGAGTACTGACACCGTCATCAGTATGGAATTTCTGCACTTGTTCCTTAGACGTCAGTTCGCGGCGAAACCAGTGATGGCCTCTCGAAAATGTCGGCTGTATTCTCAAGCAAAAATTGTTGTGTCAAAAAATCGGCAGGAAAAACGTCATGGGACACAAAGGTACACATTTTAGTTACTTGCCAACACACTGTAAGACGCTATGTCTCACACCATTATAGCGGAGCTACACGCGCGGCGCGAAGCGCCGCGCGTGAGCGGAGCCCCATAGCTAAGGAAATGTGGTAATCTACCCATCCGAGAAAATGTGGTAATCACATGACCGTACACCGACCCACCGATCCCCCTCCCGCCCGCCGTCCGTCCGCATCACAGGATAACCAGTGTTTACTCTCACACTTTCTAGCTAGTTTGGGAGCCCAAGAGAAAACTAATTGCACATCAATATTGTGATCAATTGACAGCTGTCCAAACAGGGTTTCCGCTGACCACTATCACCTGACTGTACCGCGGGCTTAAGTGTCGACCCATCAAGGTCGAGTATTTTTGAAGTTATCTGCTGACAAGTTACTAGTTTCAAATGATCGCAGGCTCAAGTTTATTTTTTCAATGATTCATATCAAATATGTTGTGTTTATGTCACTATGGCCCCGCACTATTAGGACTGTGATGTCTAACTGACCTCGGACGCGAAAATTCAACCAGTTTTTTAAAAATACAGGCGGGGAAGACCTTTTCCTTCCGTGGTCACGCGCTGGTCACTCTCTAGGTCCAATTTGTATGCTCTGATTGGTCAAAATTTGACAGGTGAGTTTTTGCGGAAAATTCATGCAGCATCTTGAAAATTGTTTACTTTGGCAGCTGAAGCTGACAGAGTTTTGTTTCAACTTGTGATGTTTTTAACTGTCTTTTCCCTCTGGATGTACAAATTGAAATACAGCTGCTATCAAGAGTCTCCTGTTTATTCATGGCTGGTTTGCTTACTCGTTTTTTGGTTGAGAAATGCCTCGCTTGTCAAATTCGGTAATTCGATTGCCGATGGCATCGTTTTCGTTTTTCACCTTGCTTAATGCGTAAGAGGGTTTAAAAGTCTCAAGCAACTGCGGCCTTCCTTGACAGCTTTCAGGAACTGAATCTCGAATGGTAAGCCTGAGTAATTATTGTATTTGATGTTTGTTTTTGCTATATCTAATTTCAAGAAGTCGAGCACAGTTTATGCGGCAAGGTTATGCACGTTTGTAGGATTTGAATCAATTATCTGACCTAGTATCAGGTTTGATGTAAGCTTACAGAACTTAAAAAAGCCTTCAGATATATTTGCTCCCCGCAAATAGAAAGAAAACGTTACGAAGAATATTTAGTTATAAATTTGGCTGTAGAAAGAAAACTTTGAGCGATCTTCTTGCTTCGAGGAGTTCATCTTTGAAAACAGTAAACACCGCGCCGGGAAGCCGGCTTAAAACATAAACTTAAGCTTTACGCTTAAAGACTCAGGATTTTTAGAGACACTTTAATACTTGTCTTCGTGAATGAAAATTGTTGTCTCTGTAAATGTTTCATCGAATTATATTTATTTCATTGATTGTTAGTAGTCTCTCTCGCAATTTTAATCGCTTGTCCGTGCCTTTTGTTTTCATCGTTCATGAACATCGCTTGCAGGGGTACTCAAAAATGTCGCGCGTATCAAACGCTTTATAAGATTACACATCGTTATAACTGAAACCATTAAAAAACAAAAAATAATAATAATAAGTTCGTTATTATGTTGAAGCGTAACTCTATTAAGGTTCATTCAAACACTCGACTACACTGACAGCTCGCACTATACAAATGAGAACCGGCTGGCCGTATGGGTGATTTTGGAAATGTTTTGAACGGTTTCGCTTAAAGCCCACGATTGATCGTCCTGAATATTGAGTGACTGCAATTTGTCTTGAAAATTTGTGAAATACCGCATTCTGTCCGAGGTCTGTATGATAAATAGTGCTGTTTCACCTCAGATGTGATGTATAAAAATTATAAAAGGTTGGTTTACACACCCCCAGATATGTTGGCAAGAATTTGTAAATAAACCTGTCGAACCCAAAAAAATTCGGCCTGATTTGTTTTCCAAGAATTTGTTTTCGAGGCCTAATCTACTGTGATCTTGAATGTGGTGGAAGGTGTTTGCTATTTTTGGGTGTACATACAAGGCTATCAATTTAATGCAAGATGTTTCACTCTAAAATAACTAAGCCTTTCCCTCAAAAGTCACATAAATGTGCCCTTAAGTTAACTGATTTGTGGATTACAAGTTTATTGTATGATTAAAATTATAAATTTAGTAATTTGAGCTTTGTTTTTAGCCCTGTCTAAATCCATATATTATGTGCACTTACAAATCTGCTGACAATTTGACACGTATAGAGCTCCTCGATCTCAGGTTTCAGTTGGCCAAAATCCCAGACCAAAGGACGCATGCTCTCTGGCAGACAATGTACTCTGTAGACCAGGTGACGGAGAGGAATGCGCCCTGGCATAAAACAAAGCAAATGAACTTTTTTTTCTGAAAACTAAATAAGGGAGTACAAAGTAAAGATAACTAAAGATGCCCAAAGTATTTCAATCTGTTCATGAAATCTAAATTGGTTCCACTTGAACACAAAACCCTCTGCTTTATCCCACTTTGTAACACATTGACTCTAACGTCAGTTTGATGTCGCAGGTTTCTTCTACTAGCAAAAGAAACTTTTTAGAGCTATTTTCCTTCAGACTTTCGAAACATGACACATTATGGTAAGTTCAAATGAAGCCAAAGGAGCATTTGCTTCACATTTTAAAGTATGTTGCAAAGGGAATGCTCACTACTGCCGTAGAAGCCTACGTCTTACCAAGCCGATCATGTGTTTCTTGAGTTGCAACATGGTAACCCAGGCCAGCTGATTCCAGTTTCTGGATCATTTCTTCCGTGTGTCTACAAGAAAAACAAATGTGTCAATAGCATGTATATTTGCTTAAAGATAGAGCAACGACAGGCCAGGCAGATAAGTGCTTACTTTCTGTAAGGATTACATGCTGCAATGAATTGCAATCTTTTGAGCCCAACTCCGATTTTTCTACCGTTGACTCTGCGATCCACCATAACCTCTTTGATCATCCCTAGAGCATCTGTTGTGTTGGCCTCATCAAAGAATAACACCGTATCAATGCCATGGCTTTCGTTCTTTCTGGCCATCTTCTCAGCCTCCTCCACTTTCTTCTCAATGTCTTTGTGGGATGTTCCTCCGTGAACCTGTTAAGGCACAATGAGGAACGAATTACTGACTCTATCGAACGTTTTACTTCCCAAAGCGCCAAGAGCCAGATAATGAACACTAAATGTGGAATTAAAGGTAATAGGCTCGGTGACTATTTTTCAGTAAGGACATGTTTGTAAGATAAAAAGGAAAACATAAATCTCCCCCACTAAAAATTCAATTATAAAAATGAATAAATGAGATTAACGATAGTTAGTGGTTTCTTACCTTCATGAGCAACATGTTCTTGGGTCCTCCGGGTCCTGATTGTAAGCCACACATGAACCGAATAAGGCTGGTTTTTCCACAACCTGTCTCTCCCATTATGACCACAGGAATACCACATCTTCAAATGTATCAGTGTAAAAGAAAAAACAAAGTATACTAAGACTTTGGCCAAAACTGTGCGCGGGTTAACGGAGCGCAAGCAGGATTTCTGGAGTTTTTTGGTCGTGATGGTTGTGGAGAAGAGAAGACAACAGAACCGTGACGGTGCGGTGAAGGAGGATAGACAAGATAACCGTGGAAGTGTGGTAAAGAGGGAAAGGCGACAATAAAGTTGTGGTGGAGGTGGTGGAAGAGGGAAGATAACATACCAGTAACTGTGGTAGGTTGGTGAACAAGAAAGAACGACGATAAAATTGTGGTGGCAGCGGTGAAAAATAACATTAGCCTACTGGTGTGGAGTAAGGACGACCAAAAAATTGTGGGGGTGATGGCGATGGTGGACGAGGGAAGACAACATAACCACGAAGGTGGCGCTGGTGGTGGTTATGAAGAAGTGTAGACAACATAATCGGGGCTGTCCGGTGGGAAAGGAAGGGCGACGACAGGAATGGTGCTGGTAATGATGGAGAGTAGAAGACAACGTAACCGTGAAAGTGTGGTCGAGGAGAAAGGATAAAGATAAAATTGTGGTGGTAGTATATAAGTGAAGAGAACGCAGCCGCAGCTGTGTGGTAAAGAAGAATTACACGACAATAAAGCCGTCCTGTTGCTTTTAAAGAAGGTAAAACAACATAACCGTTTCGGATTGGTGGAGAAAAGAGGACGACAACGAAATCGTAAAGGTGGTGGAGGAGGAGGAGTAGGGAAACCAACGCAACGGTGGCAGTGTGGTAGAGAAAGAGGTAAGACAATGGAATTACAGCAGTGGTAGTGGGGGAGAAAAGACAATAGAATTGTGTCGTGGAGATGGAGGAAAAGAACAAAAGTGTGGTGGCGGTGTGCACATTTTTGCTGGAATCCGTAAGTACGGGCTATCCAGTGTTACTTGATTTTTTTTTCTCACATGATTAACTGTCCAATAATTAACAATAAACTTGTCATGCAGTTGAGGCTTTAGTGCTCGTAATTTTAAATAGGGCTATTTGAGTGTGAAGTTAATCACACATTTCTCATGTCTCATTTTAAAGGATTTCACTTACCTGAAGCGCATGTGGATGGCTAAAATTTTCTTTAAATTGTCCGTGGTTAGTTCGTATGAATCATCTGGATCATTGGGCCATTCAACACCCATCACTCCACAAAGCTTCTCGATTTTCTGTGCCCTAAAATAAACAAAAACAACGCATTAACCTTAGCCCATCATGGTACAAGAAAACACGTTGAAAGAAACTTGGTGCAGAAGAATGAAAGTCTACAAATATCATGTCAAATAAATAAATATATATATATATATATTTCATACTTGCTCCAAGATTCGTAGTTAGTTTCCATGTCAACCTTTTGGATGAAAAGACCAGTACGTAAATGCCCTGACATCAAATTAGGCTGGATGATAACACGGCGGTCTGGATCAATTAAATTGCCATTTTGGTCAATATGGAAGCCAACAAACGTCATGGTAACGCCATCTTGATTGAAGAAAATGTAGGGATGTAAGCTGTTGAAAAGAATTAAAATACATCAACAAAAATAAAGAAAAAATGCGAAAGGAAGGATAAAATCTTACAAATCTTAGACAACCTTTGTAAAAGTGGCATAGGAAATACCACAAATTTTACTTTTTCGTCTTAACAGAAACATCATAACTTGATAAGACTTTAAAACTACAAAACACGAATAGTACCAAAGAGATAAAATAACTGGGAAAATTGCTTCAAGAAATCGAATACTTTGATTTAAGCGACTCCCCCTTTAAATGAATCTTAACTTTACAAATTATAATGTTTTAAAATCATACCTGGTTTCCCAGTGTCTTCTTAAAGACAACTGAACAACAGCTGTTTCTTCTGCGTCATCATCGGCAACATCGTTTAGAGATGGTGTAGCAAAATCCTTAAAAAAAGAAGTTCATTACAGGGACAACGAATTGCCACGAACTTGAAGATGTCAGTACAATAGGGACAACACTAAATTGTGAGCTTTTTGGTTCATAAATTATGCATACTAACCACCTTAAGGGTTTGGAAATGGGGACAAAAAGCAGAAATGTTAGCCACCGTAAAACCTCTATGCCCTCTCCTCTCTTCTCAATGAACCACCCCCTCGCTGATACGTCCTCCCTTTTTAGGAGAAGATAGTTAGTAAGAGCCCCCCTTTTTTTAAGCCCCCATCCCTCCCCCTCGTTATCAGTCACTAATAAATAATAGACTGTATTAATGAAGCGACAGTAAAACTCCGTGTGGACTTATCCAGACTGGACGTTCGGATTTGTTTTCGATCCTCGGCTGCATGACCTTCAACTTCTTGTACTTGGGCTTTTCCACTTTACATGGTAGTTCTTTTTGGAGATTTGATACCATCTTCTTTGCTTAAACTAAATATGTAGCCCCCACGTCCCAAATAAGCCCCCCCTCTCAAATGCGTTTGAAATAAAGGATCCCCCTGGGGGACTTAATATAGGATTTACGGTACCCTAATTTTACCACTCTCTCAATGCTTCGTTTAGGAACATACAAAAAAAGTTTGGTTCAAAATAAACCCAAATAAAAACAGGGGTGAAAAAGAATGCCATATGTGCACCGAAAATCTTTAAGACATGGAAAAGATCGGCAATCTAGTTAATATCCATGTCAAATAATAATTCACTGTATATAACATAGATGACGCCCACCGCCTTCCGATTTCAGGCACTTTCTCCAAGGGTTTGGGTGGGTAGCATTTAGCTCCTGGGAACTGGGCCTCACATTCTTCGCGATCGCACCTTTCCATTTCTCTTACCCGTGACATAAGGATCATAAATTGGACCACAAAGCTTCTAAAGCCCTCGAGAGTGTCTCCAACAAGTTCCATGTTACAAAACGTACTGTTCTCACAGGCTTGGAGCTGAGAGTTGAGGAAGTTAACAAAATGACGGAGTTCAGCCCATGACGGGTCCACAACGCCACAATTCCTGAAAAAAGTGCATAACTATCACTAAATCCTTCTCATTTCATTGGTAATATAGCTGTTCATTCCATATCTCTCATAGGTATCACTACAATTGAAGAGGCAAGTAAGATTATTTTTCGAAATGATTGTTTTGTTGTTCTTGTAGTTTTATAGCGCGAGCACTTGTAAACTTGTAAACTTGAAAGCCTTGTAAACTGAGAACTTGTGTTTATCTAAAAGGAACAGTTTCCTTTTACACTGTGTCACTTTTGACATCACCGACGTATGTCAAATCTAAACTCAAGCTACAAAACCAAGCTACAAATGAACTTATACTATGACCTTACAAAAGCTATTTTGAAATCTCCCTCTATTCGTGGACGCACGAAGACATAATAGCCAAATTCGACCATTCTTGAAGAAATGGTGAAAAAAGATTTGTATATAGAGTGTACCTTACAAGTGTGTCAATACACTCTGCATGGTCACCCATCACCTTGGTTGGTATAAACGAGAAGTGGTTTAGGTTCTCTCTTGCTGACTCCCAAAACCTCAGATACTGAAACGCCCGTTGAACATGTGAGTTTTGAAATTCACTATTGTCAAACAGAGGGTTGAGACTAATACCACCTACGGAAAAGGAAAGCGAAAAAAGTTATGGTATGAGTAAATACTGCCGTCATTTTTAAGACACCAAACCCCTCGAATACGTTTGAACAAATTCAGCTAATTTCATGAGTAGATGTACGCTGATCAGTGTAGAGAATTTGCATGTGAATATTGGGCATTAAGGAGTTTTTAGTGTAATGTACAAGGTATAGTCGAAGGAGCCCCATCGATACTGCTGATTCTGCAATTGTAGCAGGCATGTGAAGACGAACCTAGTAAAAGAACCAGGTCGCGTATCTTTTCCCGTGCGGGACTCGGATCTTTCAGTCACACAAACTTTCTTTGTGTTTATACAAATGTAGTGCCAATTACAATAAAATTAAAATGAAGCACGACGGACATCTTGTTCAATCAAACCAATGGCAGCTCAAACAGAAAGGAATATGTAATTACAAACTAGAATTTCTTACCCATTTTCTGAGTCCTCAACTGACTCAACGTTCGTAATGGTGTTTCACATTCAATGGAAGGAAGCAGCCTGTAAAAAGGCTCTGCTTTGACTTTTCGACCGTCAAGCTATTGAAAAAACATAAATTTAGCGATTCAGTGCCTTCCTTCACTAAACTCTTCTACTATCTTCTACTATCTCTTCTACTATCGTATCATAGGTCAGAACAATTAAGGTCAGACACGACAATCTGCTCTCCGGCTTTTTACTCGGGCTGTTCCTTTTTGGTGGGCATCTATAGTAGAAATGACGCGGGAGATAGCTGTCTAACATCTCAGAGACGGTCTTGGGTTATTTTTCACGTTGGAAACTGGCAAGAAAACCCTATAATTTGGAAACAGTGGAGATCTTTGGATCTTTGAAAACAGTGAATTTTACGAGTCTATTGTTTTACCGTGGAAAAACAATGGCAAAGCTGTCACAAATGTGTACCCAACGGGATCTGTGTTAAACAAAGGAGCCTTTGCCTTCTCCATCAAGAATAGATCTAGGCGGAGCCAGAACCCTTGTGCATATTATGCTAACAGCACTGAAACATTCCACCCGCTGTTAGAAGGAGATTTAGGGCCTGTTTACATGGAGGTGGGGGACCGCAGATAGGTGGGGTAACATGCGGAGGGTCACCCCACCTATCATGTAAACTTGATCAAATTAAAATGAGAGTTTATGCGGACAGGCTGGTTACCCACCAAAGAGGGTTACCTCACCTACATGGGATCCCCCACCTCCATGTAAACAGGCCCTTAGTTTTCAAACTCACTTGTGACAAGCTTCTAGAGCAAAGTGTCGGTCAGCTCGTAACACCTCCAACCTTGTTGAAATTAAACGGGCTCCAATAATAAAACACCAGACAATAGTCGACTGTTGTCGCTTTGTTTACTAAATGCGCAATCAGTTAGAAATAAGACGGCAGACTTTGTTGACTATATATGCGAAAACAAATACGATCTCGTCGCAATTACCGAGACCTGGCTACAAAAGAGAGATAATGCAGTCAGAGGTGAACTTCGCCCAACTGGTTATCAGCTAATAACCATCCTCGCTCGGGAAGGGGCGGAGGGGGCATAGGATTACTCTTCCGTGAGTGCTTAAGAGTTAATACTGTCAGATCTGCTGAGAAGGAGGCCATCGATTATTCTGATCTACTTGTACAACTGCCAACACCTTGCAAGTTAAGGATTATTATTGTTCATAGAACACCACCTTCGGAAAACCACACGGTTCCCATCAGCACCTTCCTAATAAAGGAGTTCGCTGATTTAATGGTATCTGTTATCTTATCAAAGGAACGCTTGCTTGTTGTTGGGGATTTCAATATCCACGTGGACGTTCCAAATGGTATCGACGCCGTGAAGTTCCTTGATCTACTTGAATCGCTTGGGCTTGAACAGCATGTTACCGAACCGACACATATATTTGGTCACAGGTTAGATCTCGTTATCACGAGGAGAACTGAGACACTGTTGGGGTCAACTTTATACGCAGTTGTCGCTACCTCTCTGATCATTCTGCTGTTCGTTGTAGTATTCGCATAAACAAGCCTCGCCCAAAGCCAAGAGGGTGACTTATACGAGGACCAAGTCTGTTGATCTTGACTACCTCAAGCAAGATATCGCGAAGTCAAATCTGTGCCTGCAAGGCTGTGTTGGGTGTCCATCATCTTGTGAAGATTTTGACAAGTTTATACAAAAATACAACTCCACCTTAAGCAGTATACTAGATCGCCATGCACCACTGAAACCAAAAGTAGTGAGGTCAAGGCCCCAGGTCCCCTGGTACAACCAAGAAATTGCCTAGGCGAAAAGAAAGCGACTGAAGGCTGAGCGAACGTGGAGAAAGACAAAGTCTGCTGAAGACCTGCTGGTGTAGCTGTGGCAAATGACATTGCCCGCTATTTCCATCGTAAGATCCTTAATATCCGCAATGAGCTACACGGTATCGATGTTAACCAGAGAAGATGTAGTGACCTGATTGACGACCCTGTTTTCAGTTCAAATATCGAACCACTACGTGTTTTCAAGGAACTGAAAGAGAAGGATGTATACCAGCTCATTCAGGCTTCGCCTAAGAAAAGTAGTACGCTCGATCCTTTTCAAACGTCTATCTTACTGGGCAGCCTTGAAGAACTCCTTTCAATAATCACTTCTATGGTTAATTGTTCCTTGACTCTTGGACACTTTCCAGCTGCGTGGAAAGCTTCTCTAGTTGATCCACAGCTCAAGAAACGTTGTCAAAGCGCCTCCCTTTCAAATCTTATACCTGTGAGTAATCTCCAATTTATCTCGAAGCTTACGGAGAGAGCAGTGTACAACCAAACCCAAGAACATTTAGTGCGATCAGAGCTGTACACAACGCTCCAGTCAACCTATCCAGCAGGCCACAGCACGGAGACGGCCCTCCTTAAGGTACACAATGACATCTTGCTTAACATGAATCACCGGAGGGTCACTCTACTGGTGCTGTTAGACTTGAGTGCAGCATTTGACACTGTAGATCATGAAGTACTTCTCCGTCGTCTTGAGGTAACTTTTGGCAT